GCCGCCGCAGCCGCCGCAGCCGCCGCCGCCGCCGCAGCCGCAGCCGCCGCAGCCGCCGCCGCCGCCAAGTGTACTCTGTATCGTTTTTTGACAGGGATGGTGGGGGGGGCCGCATCGGGTCGGCTGCGCATGTTCCGAATTTGGAGGCAGAGTGTGTTTTGTATGTTGTTGTTTTTTTACCAGGGATGGCGGGGGGGGGCGTCGGCATGGACTCGGGTTGGCCCCCGGTCGCCTGGGGGGGGGGGTGTTTATTAATAGGGAACAGTGATTAAGTTACCCACAAGCAACGAGCCGTCTCGCTTGTTCCCACCCGCCCTCCCAACACATAAGAAGCACCCGAGTTTCAGCATGGACAGGGGCCACCATCGACAGCTATCGGGGACCAATGCAAACGCCAGCCAGGTGCGCGAAGCCCGCGAGATGGCCGCACATGTCAGCTGCGCCACGCGGACCAGGTGCGCCACATTGGGTAATACGTCGACCTTCCCACCGTCCCTGTCAAAAACCATACACAATGACGGCGGGCTTGTTGTGTGCGGGTGTGCGCGCGGCGAACAATGTGCCGGCACCGCCGCCGTCCTTGTCAAGACCCCATGCTAAGTGGTCGTGGGATGCCCGCGCATGCTCCAGGTTCCAGAGGCAAAGTTTATGTTGTATGGCTTTTGACAGGGATGTTGTGGGGGGTGTTGCCATGGGTGTCGTTATGGATCCAGATTGGCTGCCAGTCGGGCCAGGGAGGGGGTGTTTATTCCCCAATCAGAGCTTGCTTCTGTAGGGGTCATAGCGGACTCATATGGTTAGGTTAGGTTTGTCGCCGATGTTCGCTGCACGCCCGGGTGCCTGGGGGTGCCCGGGGGGGCCAGGGGGCCCGGGGGCCCGGGCGTGCCCGGGGGTGCCTTATAGCCCTAGAGCCCTAAGCACTATAGCCCAATAGCCCAACAGCCCTACAATTCTATAGCCCTATAGCTCTATAGACCTATAGCTCAATAGCCCCCTAGCCCTATAGCCCTGATTGGGTATTTTCTCCGGTATCATTCTAATGAGAAAAAATGATAGGCCCCTCCCCGAAGGCGAAACACGGGAGTTGGAAGAGGCAATTTGCTAGACCACTCACGCCCAGCGGGCTCGGGGATTAGAAAGCGTGCGGAGGAACCGCTTCTGACCTCCTCCACCCAGAGGGCGCGCGGTCGTTTTGCAGGGTATTTCAGGGTGGTTTGCAGGGTATTGCATGGTACTGCAGGGGTTTGGTTTGCAGGGTCGTTTTCCAAGGTATTGCAGGGTGTTGCAGGGTCAGCACGGAATCTTTGCACCCCTCTTTTGCAGAATATTGCAGGGGGTGCGGCGAGGTCCAGGGGAGAGGGTAGGGAGAGGGGTTTCTGGAAAGCTACCAGAGGAAACGCCGTAGACCACCTCCGCCCAGAGGACTGGTGGGATTTGTCATCGGTAATCGATGAACGCGCTGCTATTGTTGACGCTTCACATATCCCCACCAGCCCATCCAGAAACGATGCCCAGGAGAGTTGAGATGATACGAGAAGTGGGGGAGCATGCAGAAGGACAAAGGGCGGGGGACGCCGTCATATACCGCAGGAGGGGGAGGATGGAGGAGGAATCGTCGTCGTCGAAGGAGGAGGAGGAGGAGGAGGAGGAGGAGGAGGCGGAGTAGGGCGAGGACGAGGAGGACGAGAAGGAGGAGAAGGAGGGAGAGTTGGGTACCTCGGAGATCCTCTTGGGGCCTCGTATAGGGTCTTTCGGGAGCCTCTTGGAGGCATCTTCGGGCTGCCTGAGCGCCTCTTAGGGCCCTCCTGGGCCGCTCTTGGGAGCTTTAGGGGCGCTGTTGGGGCCATCTTGGAGGACATCGATCACAAAAAGGTGAGCTTAAATTTGCCTCCCCCCTTGGGAGCACCGACAATCGCCTCCTGGACCTCTCTTGGATCGCTCTTGGGGCGCTCTTGGGGCCGTCCTGGGGCTCTCTTGGGCCTCTCCTGGGGCTCTCCTGGGCCATTTTGGATGCACTTTGAGGATTCGGATGGCCATCAAAAACCAAAAGGCGAGAAAGCAAAAATCATTCATTTTCTTTTGGTGTTTGAAGGAGTTTGGCTTCTTGGGGGCCTTTTTGGAGGTCTCGGAAGCCTCTTGGAGCAGTCTTGGAACGTTTTGGGGACTTCTTGAAATCAGATCGTCGTTGTCCTTCGGTCTGGCCAGCCCGCGCGCCGGCTCCGCTCGGGAAGAGGGACGAGGAGGAGGAGGAGGGAACGAGGAGGGAGACAGGGAGGTGAGGGCAGGATCAACGAGGGGGGAGGCAGGAGGGAGGGAGGGAGGAAGCCTGGCAAAGGGAACGGGGAGGGAGGAGGGGCGGGGGGGGGGCAAGAGGGAGAGAGGAGGAAGGGAGGCTCCTCCTCCTCTTCCTCTTTCTCCTCCTCCTCCTCCTTTTCCTCCTCCTCCTCCTCCGATTTCGTTTTCCGGTTTCCGTTTTCCGGTTTCCGCTTTCCGTTTTCCGTTTTCCGTTTTCCGTTTCCGTTTTACGGTTTCCGGTTTCCGTTTTCCGTTTTCCATTTTCCGCTTTGCGTTTTCCGGTTTCTGTTTTCCGGTTCCGGTTTCCGGTTTCCGTTTTCCGTTTTCCGGTTCTTGTGCTCTCCCGTGGGCACCCGCGTCTTTCTACGCCATTTTCCGTTTTCTGTTTTCCGTTTTCCGATTCCGGTGGTCTGCCGTCGGCTCCCAGCTCCCTCTTCGCTGTTTTCCGGTTTCTGCTTTCCGTTTTCCGGTTTCTGGTTCCGGTCTCCGTTTTCCGTTTCCCGTTTTCCCGTTCCGGTGTTTTCCCGTGGTCCCTCGCGTCTTTCTGCGCCGTTTTCCTTTTTCCGTTTTCCGTTTTCCGATTCCGGTGGTCTCCAGTCGGCCTCCGCTTCCCTCTTCGTTGTTTTCCGTTTTCCCCTTTCCGGTTTCCCGTTTCCGTTTTCTGGTTCCGGTTTCCGCTTTCCGTTTTCCGTTTTCCGGTTCCGGTGCTCTCCCGTCATCCCCCGCGTTTTTCTTCTCCGTTTTCCGTTTTCCCTTTTCCGTTTTCCGATTCTTGTCGTCTGCCGTCGGCCTCCGCTTCCTTCTTCGCTGTTTTCCGTTTTCCGGTTTCCGTTTTCCGGTTTCCGGTTTCCGGTTCCGGTTTCCGCTCCCCTTCCGGCCCAGCGGAACCATCTCCGGTAATGACCTCATCCCCCCGGTAATGGCCAAATTGTTCAGCGCTATATTGTACAACCGCTTGGCCCCATCCATAGATAAGAAGCTATCGCGTGAGCAGTTCGGATTCCGCCCTGGGCGCGGCTGTGCCGATGCGCTTCACATTTTGCGGGCGGCGGTGGAGAAATCATTGGAATGGGGGGGGGGGGGGGGCTCTGGATAGCAGCGCTGGACGTCGGAAAGGCTTTCGATAGAGTGCATCGCAAGGCCCTATTCGATGCTTTGCTGCAGAATGGTGTGAGTACGTCGGCAGTTGGGGTGCTTCGCAGATTGTACTTTGGAGTCAAAGGCCTTGCGTCGCTCTGGCCAGGGCAAGACAGCGTATTCTTTGCAGTCAGCCGGGGCGTTCGACAAGGTGACCCTTTGTCGCCAATATTGTTCAATCTGATTCTAGACGGGGCCCTGAAAGAGGGCAACGAACTCTGGCAGAAACGCGGGTGCGGCACCGCAGCGGGGCACGCCCTACTGAGCCCCCGTCTGACACACATTGCTTGCGCCGACGACCAGACGCTCTTCGCCAGGAGTTGGTTGTCGCTCAAGAGGGTGATTTTGTTTCCGAGGGAGTCGCTGTCGAAGAGGGGGCTGTCGCTACGCCCGATGAAATGCAAGGTGCAGACGAGGCTTCAGACCCGCGTGCAGCGGGGGCATGTCAAGTTGGATGCGGATTTGTCTGTGGACGTCCTCGAACAAGGCCAATGCTTAGAATTACTCGGGATCCATTTGTCATTGGAGGACGTGACAGGTGCGGAAGTGAAGAACAGGATCGCTGCAGGTTGGAGGAAGTTTTGGGCATTGAAAAAGATGCTATTGAAACGTTCGTATTCCGTGAAGAAGAGGCTGCGCCTCTTTGAAAGCACTGTGTCTGGGACTGTCCTCGGGGCCTCGGAGTCATGGTCTCCCCGCGTGGAAGAACTCAGACGACTTCAGTCCACGCAGAGGGCAATGCTGCGGCGGATAGTGCGCTGCAGCCGCAGGCCGGAGGAGCAATGGGTCGAGTGGCTACAGAGAACGACCAGCAAGGCCCGGGCGTCAGCGAAGCAGTCTGGCGTGCAAGAGTGGCCGCGAACACACCTTCAGCGCAAGTGGCGGTGGGCAGGCCACGTCGCCCGAATGCCTTACGGGGAATGGGCAGGAAGAGTGACAAGGTGGCGGGATTCATCGTGGCAGGCGTCTTTCGCAAACGACTCCCAAAGGCCACTGAGGCCATCTCACCGGCCATGGATGAAGTTCGAGGGGTCTTTGAAGAGATATTGTATCGAACATGGTATGGGCGAGTGGCAGACTGTGGCGCAGGACCGGCACCTTTGGCACACATACAACGACGACTTCGTGAACTGGACCACGAGGCTCTACTGAACACCTTATCGGTGCCGCCCCCCGCGGGCCTTAGACGGCACTTCCTTCCTTCCTTTCTTCTCTTGCTGGTGATGTTCCTCCTCCTGCACCTCCTCCTCCACCTCCTCGTCTTTCGCATCAGTCCTCATCCTCTTTTTCCTCACGACAATTCTCCTGCTCATGCGACACCTCCTTTTCTCTTCCTCCTCCTCTTCTCTTCCAATGTACACAGATCCCCTTTTCTAATTGCGCATCACACGATCAAGGTCATTCTGGGGGGGTCCAGGTCCGCCATGACGCCCGCCGGCGGATGGATAACAAGTCAGTGCCGCTGGAAAGGATGGGTGGGATGGCGCAGGATGCCGCAGGATGCCAGGTACTGCACGAGCGCACCTGGCTTGTCCTTCCTCCTCTCTCCTCCCTCCCCCCTCCTTTCGCCCATCCCCGCACTCCTGCCGCTCGCTTTCGCCGAGCGAGAAGGCACCTCCTGCAGCGGTCACCGCGACGCGCCCCTCGTCCACCCCCCGTGCCATCCGCCGGCAGCAATGGCGCGCTCGCCCGCGCTCGCGTCCCTGGTCCTCGGCGCCGTGGCGCTGGCGCGCCCCAGAGAGGAGGTCAGAGGAGACAAGCACAGTCGACCCGCACGGTAAGGATGGGCAACCTTCCCACCCTTACATCCTTGCCTCCTCGGCCCATCCTTGGCCGCTTTCGTTGGTCGCGCCCCGCTCGAGAAGCTTCGACATGGGCGTCCAAGGCCCTTGGCATCCTTATCGCGAATCCTTCTGCTACGGGTCGGCTGTACACGGATACCGCTGCCTTTCCTAGTTGCCCCAGCTGGTTTCGCCTCGAAAGCTAGTAATAACAATCATAATTTGAGGAGGAGGAGGAGGAGGCGGAGGAGGAAGAGGAGGAGGAGGAGGAGGAGGAGGAGGAGGAGGAGGAGGAGGAGGGGGAGGGGGAGGAGGAGGAGGAGGAGGAGGAGGAGGAGGAGGAGGAGGAGGAGGAGGAGAGGAATAGGAGGGGAGGAGGAGGAGGGAGGAGGAGGAGGAGGAGGAGGAGGGGGATGGGGAGGAGGAGGAGGAGGAGGAGGAGGAGGAGGAGGAGGAGGAGGAGGAGGAGGAGGAAGAGGAGGAGGAGGAGGAGGAGGATGGGGAGGAGGTCCGCGAAGCAGCGGTGTGGGTATCCTTATGTTCCCCCAGGAGGGTCTCCGCGGCGCGCCCGACGGGGGATGGCAGAGGGGGCGGGCCATCTCGGAAGGCGCAAGTGGTCCTTGGCCTTCTCGATGGGCCTGTTTTCCACCACCACCACCACCACCACCATAAGTTGGAGGGGGGAAGGAGGTGGAGGAGGAGGAGTGGAGTGGAGTGGAGTGGAGTGGAGTGGAGTGGAGTGGAGTGGACACCGCTGCGCAGCAGGTTCAATGCTTCACGAAGGCTTCGGCCGAAGATTGTTCGAACGCCTTGCTGTCTGCTCAGCACGGCTCAGGACGTTGGGTGGCAAACCCCTGGCTATCTCGTCGAGGTGTTCTCGGCCTGTGGCTGACGTCCTTCGGGAACAGGGGGACTTGAGCGATCGCAGAACGTCATCGGCGATCGCCCCACACTCAGAACATAACCAAAGCTTTGATGTGGTATGAACATTTAAGGTGTGCGAATGATGGGCCCAACCCCCCCGCGATATGAATTCGCGAACCCTGGATCGGCGAAAGGATCAACCCATCGACATGGAATAGTTTCGGGCATACTGAGTTCACGAATTCTGTGGTGGTGGCGAGGGTAGCGGAGCCAAAACACTGGAGGCAGCGCCGACCACATTCGGCCAGGCGGTGCTGGGACATCAGGGCAGAGACAGCGGCAGCAGAGGGGGGAGCAGGAGGCGGAGGGGTCTCACGGGTGCCCTTGTGGCCTGGGGGCTCATTCCTCTTCCTCTCTTTCTCCAGCTTTGCACCTGCACGGATGCTATCAAGCGAGGCCTTCACAAGACGGAGTCTGATGAGGTGGGTTTTTGTTCGGCTATTGGCGGGTAGCCGAGCGAGATTGACATCATATACAGCAAACTCGTCGGCTACGAGGTTACCGAGCACGAAGTAGCTGGTCGCTTTGCCCTCGGCCAAATCCTTGGCTGTCATATGGGATGGCGTCCACAGGATGGCTATCGCTTTGTGGCATCTGTTACGCATGAGCTGGCCTATTTTATTCCAGAGATCAGCATCCTCGCCAGCGGGATGCAAGTATACACGGTTATACCACCCAGCCACACCATAATCACAATCATTGGCATACGTTAACTAACGAGTGGTGCTCCAGTTCGCAAGGTATAAGGCATATAATTCACCTCGTGCCACGACTTGACGCGGGCCCCCCAGCGGGCCGAACATTGATCCCCTGATCTCGATCTCAGGGAGTACCTGATTAAAGCATAAAATGGCGACGCCGACTCTGCGCAGACGGGGCACCGCTGAGTCCTCACCACCACTAGCGTCCCCGAACATCTCGACTGGCCTTGCAGTGCCAGCACCAAACACGCCCTGCTCCAGTCCGTTGACACCTGTGAACTCCAGAGGAGGGTCATCTGCGGGTGGAGGTACCGTCAGCCACTGCTGAGGGATGAGGCCCCTCAGCCAGAAGCACTCTGCCGTATTGTGCTGGGCCAGCGCCTCGGGGATGAGTGACGCTGACCTTCGGTACGGCAGGGCATCGCAATTTTTCTCACACTCCCAGAAACGATGAAGTGGCGTTTTGGGGTGGAGCCCACATCTTTCACACAAGTTGTTGCCCTTTACTTTTTCAGCCCATCCTGGCGGCGGTGGCGGGTCCAAAACCCTCCTGCTGCAATGTTGACAAGGAGTTCAGACATCTTGGAGCCATGGGGCAGCTGGCTCACCTGCTTAAGGAGACGGAATGATGTGTTGTCTGCTCCTTCCTCCAGACCGCCGCCACAGTAGTGCTGCGCCGCCTGCTGCCAGGCCACCAGCTCTGCCGACCGCCTGATGTCCTGCAGCAGCTCCCTGTGCGTGTCCAGTTGCGGGTTGCCCGTGAAAATGCTATCAGGGAATTGCCGCTCCTCATTGGTGCCCTGGAGTGAAGTGAACGACCAATGATCCACCTCTGCTGGGTTCCACTGGAGACGCAGCAGCGTGAGGATGGTTGCCGAAATCGGCCCTCGCACTGCTCGGACCTGCAGGGAAGGTTCAGTGGCGCGCAGACTGGCAAGCACCTTCGGCCAGGCCGAGCGGATGCTTCTGCGGAGGCCGGGCTGCAGCTGCCAGTTGCTGAGCCACTGGTCGATGCATTTGGTTGGGTAGGTTATTGCAGGGTCGCTGCCAGGAGCTCGCAAGTCGAGAACTGTCGCAAGGCACCGACCACGGGTGCCTGCTGAATATATCTGACCCAAGCGTCGCCTGCAAGCACGTATCTGACTCCCAACCATTCCATGCATTTGAAATCCGTATGTTCCTGTGGGCTGGCCGCCATTCCTTTCTAATATCATAATGACATGGGAGCGCCTCGTGGCACGGGTAAAACGGCGGATCTTGGCAGACATGAGGGCATGCTTGGTCTGGCGTTCAGTGCGCGTTGCCCTGCCACGTCTCCCACAGCTGAAATCCACTCCCGAATACGGCGCCTGCAGACATGCCTGGACTGGATACCGCTGCCGCCTAGCTGCTCGAGCAACTGCATGGGCGTCAGAGGGCGTGCTGCGCATGACGACTGATTTCTTGGCCAACTTGATGCCCATTCTGCCCCCTCCTACTCATGGTGGTGGTGGTGGTGGTGGTGGAAAACAGGCCCACCACTTCTGGAGAGCGTTCGAAGCCATCCCCGAAGGAGCAAGAGGCTTCTCAGAAGGCCAGGGGGCCTCTGAGATGCCCCGCTGCCTGCTGAGAAGACATGCCTCCTCTCACTCCTCCCTCGGCGCGCCGCCGAGGGGTGGAGGTTTGGGCGCCCAGGCTCCCCCCTCCCCCTCCCCCCCCCGCAGTCAATGGAAGGCACTTCAGAGATTTCGTGGGGGAGGAGGAGTGGGAGGCGGAGGTGGAGGGGGGGGAAGACGTGGGGGTAAGGAGGGGATAGAGGTGAAGGAGGAACTGGAGGTGGAGGAGGAGCTGGAGCAGGGAGAAGTGGATGTGGATGAGGATCCGGAAGGAGAGGAAGGAATTGGAGGACGAGGAGGAAGAGGACGAGCAGGGAGCGACGATGGAGAAGGGAGAGAGGAGAGAGGAGGGGGCAGGCGGAGCACCACATGGATGCGGCAGGAGGTAGCAAGCCGGGATCATCGGACCAGACCAGAGCTCGCCCCGCCACGAACCAGCCCCGGCTCCCCCACATGTCCTGGGGGAGGGCGCGCCTGTCCTCGCAGCGGCGCACCTCCGATTTTTTTCTCGCCGGCGGCTCCGCAGTCGGAGGTGTGCCTCCTCCGTGGGCCCCGTAGTGTCCAGCCTCGCCCCCCTGCCCCCCTGTCCCCGTTCCGGGTGCGGCGTCCGGGGCTGCTGCCCCGGCCCGCCCGCCCTCTGGCCCCGCGGCTGTCACGGAGCCCGTCCAGGCAAGCAGGACAGGCGATGCCAGGGCTCAGGAGGTAGGGGGGGGCGATCGTGATGGCAAGAGGAGGGAAAGTGGGAGGGAGAACGACAGAGAGGGAAGGAGACGAGGATGACGATGCGGGAGAAGAATGTGGGACGAGAAGGCTTGAGGAAAGAACGACGCGCGAGTCGTCCCTGCAAGGGGACGGGCCAGCTAGCGGCCTGCGCGGGGCGGCCGTGACCCGCTCCATCAGCTTAATGAGTTCCTTCACGGTGCCATCCAGACGTGTTGACAAAGCCATCCTCTTGCATTTGCCACCAGGCCTTGTCCGATGCTGTCGTAAGCCATGTTGCGTCGTTGGTGGCACTGCGATCTTGCCGCTGCCCGCGGGTTGCTCTGTATTTCCAGTGCTGTGTTGTTCCGCTTCGCCGCCAGACGGTAGCTACAGGCTGTGCACATAGTTTCGTATGTCGTTGTCCCGCCTCTTCTGCTGTCCACCCTGTCGTCGCCTCCTTGCGTCGCATGGAATTCGGAATTCCAGTTGAGAGCACGCTGAGTCCAGCGGGTCGGCGTGTGGTTCGCAACTCGTGCGGCCCAGCGCCAAGACACTTTGCGCAATCGGAAATGGGCAGCTGAGCTGGAGGAGAAGGAGGAGGGAGGAGAAGGACGAGGACGAGGATGAGGACGAAGACGAACAGCAGCAGCAGCAGCTAGACTGGAAGGAGCGGGACGAGCAGGAGGACCAGGGGAAGGCGGAGGAGGGGAAAGGATGGGGGGCGGCAACGAAGAGGAAGGACTCGGATCCAGAAAAGTGGCCCGCGCCGAGGCGAGAGCGCCCTTCTGAACGATTTGAGGAACGCGCCGATCCGAATTGGAGGCCCACGCTGCAGCGGTAGCACCATCTTGAGAAGCCGAAGCAATCGGAGTGTCAAACACTTGATCCAGAATTAGCCTAGCGAAGGACCCAGCCATATGCAGTTGTGAGCAACGCACTCGTGAGTATCGTCTGCGGTGGAGTTCCCTATGGGGCCACGAAACGTATGAGGGGTACGACCAACATACGGTGGGGCAGACGCATG